CCAATTCAAGAACATACGGGTCATCGTTTCTAGCACGTATAGAAAACAGATTACAGTGAGTATCCAGAAATTAGTGAAATTACTCATCTTCCAAAATTAAGAAGCAACACTTTCTGACATCAAGAATCAGGAAAGTAGCTCACCGTCCATCCACAAGTTCTTCCTTGAATCGTAAATATTCAGAAACTGTCAATTGGTCGACGCTGAGTTCATATACATTGACACGTACAAATTCCCAAACACCAGGCCTTGGTCGGAAAGCTATGGCAACAAAAGGTGGCAGAACTATGGCTTCCTATCATCGGAGTTACAGCAGAATATTTAAGGCATAAAAAAATTATAGTTCCAAGAAGAACAAAAGTTTCAATTTGCTACCACCCTGATCCCAATATTTAGCTCATTTGTCCACAAAATTGATTCAAAATGATTATCTGGCCGACAAATCAAGGTCATAATATACAAAATACAAACTGATGAAAATCCATTATAGAGTTCTAACAATCCTGAAAAATGAGAAATTAAATTAGTTTAATCAAGAAATAAATACTAGTCTTCCTTCCTCGGTTCGAATTCAGCAAAATGCACATAAAGGTTGGGTTTTACTTTTTGACACAGAGATCAAATTCCAGGTAATTATTGCTAGTGAAAATTTTGAAAAAACTCATATTTTTTTCCGATTGCCCAGAATAAATAAAATTAAAAATTTGAGAATTAATATGAAAATTAAATAAATAACCTGAGCAGACTTCAAAATTTCGCCAAAGGGTCCATCACTGAGTTTCTTCTTTCCATCATCATCACAAACGATGTTGTCCAGCTCATCGATCAGATTATGGGGCTGCAGCATACCCTTCCCCTGGGAAACATATCTTCAAGCAGTTTTTTTGTTAGTTTAAAACAAAGTAGCGAGCGATCAGCGATCAGATTAAAAAGAAAAAAAAAATCATAAAAAGCAGTTCAAAGAAAACAAATCATGTGATATCACAACTTCCCATTGAGAAAAAGTTGCCAGGATTTTATTTCTTGTCACGTATTTTCTTTTATACATTTTCAATATCTCAATATATAAAAGAAAAAAGGTTACCTGGAAAGGAGTGAGACTAGCTCGTTGCGGTGAGCAGAAAGTGTATCCTCCACCCTCTCTCTCATGCTGGGTAATTTTACTAATTTTGGAGTCGACATTGAAAATTTTGGGTGGTTGTTTCAGTATCAGTATTCAACAAACAATGAAGTTTTCCCGTTTTTAGGGGTTCTTTGGACTGAACGAATGTGGCAAGAAAATAGTAATTTATAGACCAACATGACACAGAAAAACCGACACGGAGTGAGAAAAAAGGTCATGTTCATTTAGATAAGGTAGAGGACGTAAGATAAAATAGAATAGTAGATAATATCAATCGGTTTGAACGTGAACTCTGGGCCCATTTGGAAACTGGGAGTCCCATAGAAATGAGGAAATTCATAATGCCAATCCGTTATGGGTTCCGGTTTTATCTGCCAACTTTACTTGAATCCGTGCACCGTTTATGAGATGACAAATGGCTGCACGTCTATTTCACACACACTGACATTTTGACTGGGTTTTTAATGCGCTCCGCGACAAAGTTGAGACGAATCTCTACACGGGTCTTGAGAGATGCAAAGAATTTGGTGGTTTTTTGATAAAATTTTATTAACTTTTACCTTATTATAAACTTTAATTTTAATTATATATATATATGGTGTGTTTGATGAATATTATCGAGGAAAGAATGTATTTTAAATAGTGATATGATGAAAAATATGTGGTTAAAAAATAAGAAAAAGTTATTAATGTGATGAAAAATATTATTTTATTAAATAATGTGTGATTGAAAATGAATTTTAAAAAATATATTTTGAAAGAATGCGTACCAAACATGGGCATAAGTCCTTGTTTGAGCCTCATTTTAAGAGAAAATACATTTTTGAATAGTGATTTTTAGAAAATGCGAGGTTAAAAATTAAGAATTTTTTTCGATTTACTTGTAATATTATTTTATTTGAAAATGTGTAGTTAAAAATAAATTTTGAAAAAATGAATTTTAAAAAAATAGGGCTCAAACAATTTCATATATTTTTAATTTTTAATTAAACATTTTATTAATTTTTATCAAAATCTATAAAAACTTTTATTAAAAACTTTATCATTGTCCATTATTATGAGACAGGTCTACGTGTCTAGATATACGCCAAGACAGGTTCATAACATTTTTGTGTGGGCTGAGGTGGTTGAGTTTGGTGTCAACACTGGCTCAATCATGATTCAGAGACCGAGATAATGATTGACTAAAAAAAATCATTATAATTACAGTATTCTTCTTTCGCCTTATGTGCGAGAAGGGGAACGATCTAGGGGTTGTTCTCTTTGTTGTTTTCAAACCGTTTTTTATTTTCGATTTTTCAAATCAGTAAAAATGCATACTCTTTTCCGTTTCCCCCTAAATTCTTCCTCCTACCAATCCACCGCCTCCTTCCATCAATGACTTCCACCACCCGCCACCTAAGCTGCCGGACCCCCACACCATCGGCACCCCCTCACCTCCCTCTACAACCTCCGACCATCGCCACCCACCAGACCGTCGGAAACAGCTTTAATTCCCTTCCAAAATCGCGAGCGCAGTCACTACTTTTCCCCAGTTACTTCCACCCTCTCTCGATCGTGGAGCACCACCACAACATTTCTCTCAACCAGACGCATCTAGTTCAACTATAGAAGAAGACTTGTAGGATCCGCTCAAGGATCGACCATCTGGCGCCTAGCACTGGTCATTCTATTTAGACAACCAAATTTCGAACGCACATAACTTTTTGATCCACGCAACTCTAAACTGCAATTATTATTATTATTATTATTATTATTATTTTTGCAATAAACTTCAAATTCAATCATCTTGTAATTTATATATCATTTGTGCTGTGAAAATTTTTGTACCTAATTTTCTAATTTTTTCACATACTCGGCATATAGCTTCCTCGTTTTGCTTTTTCGAGCTTTCGATGTTTGATCCATCACTGCTCATCTTTATTATTAATTCCAATCACCTTGTTCATATGGATTTTTTCTTCAATTCTGTAGCCACCTTTTGTCGTGTCCAAGTCCGGGTACCCGAATATTTCATTTTCTGGCCCTTTAATGCTTAAAATCACTTTATTTTCCGTAAATCATCTAATCGAATTGATGATTAGGTTTGGTTGTGA